TTTTGGTATAGGAGCGTCCACATATGAAATGCTTTATAAACGTTCGTTCATTGTGAAGGTGATGTGAGAATCTAGATCTACACCCCTACATTTACTATTGTTATTGTGATTTAAATTCAAGACACGTGGTTAAGGTTTACCTATTCAAAGGTAATAGGGTAGAACCGGTTTTATGAATGAAATAGGCAGTAAACAGCAAATTGTTATAGTCTGTTTGTTTTGAAAACATGTCCAGGGAAAAAAATTGTTTCCAGACGTTTGTGAAAGGTTTTCAAGATTTTCAACAATAAAGGGGGGAGGGTTAAATAAAAAAATATACCAGATCATAGTTTACGGCAAAAAAGAGCTCACTAGCTACAGATACGCTTTGATTTTTATATATTTATATATATTATGTTATAATTAATCTTAATTATAATTAGAACTTCAGACCTGTCCTTACATGGAATATCAATTTTGAAATATATTTTCTCACGAAACAGACATATAGTATGAAGAGGCCTTCTAATTTTTTGTTGCAGAATAGAACAAATCATAGTTATATTTGCTAACGTGTTAATAAAATTTGGTTGAGAAACTCTGTTGTAACCTCCTTCCACCAACTAATTTTTTTATCAATTTTTTTTTCAGATAAGTTGTTTATAGTCCTTTTTGGTCATACTTTTCATGTATTGTTGTTGTAAAAACTATACTTAAATGTAGATATACCTTCGTACTGTTTTTCTGAGCGGTCAAATAAATCGCTTATGACTAGGATCGAGATATTGTACCCGTCTTTAGCATGCCTCTTGTATATCAACACATATGTGTCTTATCCCCAGATTATCCCAAATATTCTCATTTAACATACTGTGTTACTTTATATGAAAAAATAATTTAGTAATAGAGAGGTTTAGCAAATCAACGTGTATGCGTACTTGTACGTGTAGCAGGGGATTCCCCCGGAAGTCTGTGTATTACGTCATCATTCTTGTTAATGACGAATTTCTACACGTTTATCGAAACGTGTAAATCACCGAGTACACGTAAGTACAAACTTGTAGCTGATATCTCTTTATTTGATGTTTGTTTGAAAGAAAGATAACGAATTTCGAAAATTAGAAGATATTATGCGGATGTTGGTAAAAAAAAAACATATGTTCTCATTGAAAAAAGTATCTTATTGATTGTCAAATACACACACCTAATTTACTATCTTGTCTGTCACAACATACGCATATAAATAAAGTTTTTATAATTTGTTGTAAATTGTCAATTTGTGTTTATTAAGATTCAATTTTAAAAAAGCATTCAAAGCGCTTAAAATTTTTTCCCTTGGTTTTAGTGAGAGAATTGATTTCAAATTTATAAATCTACTTGGTATTTGATCCATTTAGACGAAGATCAAGGTGACCAAACTCCCCAAAAAAGAAATTCTACAACTAATATTATGGAGTATCTGTAGACAAAATCTAACTAAGAAAGCGAATATAAGAAAGAGGAACTTAAACTGAGAGGAGAAGAACCTAAACTTCATAGGGAAAGATTTGAATACGCCAGTTTCGAGATAGGAACTCTTTTATTTTAAAGGCGCGAATAACCCTCAAGTTGACGCGGAGGTGGGACACTTTTGTAAACAGAACACTATATATAGAGACATGTCGTTAAACGTCGATTCAATGCTGAAACCTCAGCTGAAATTATTTCTGATTGAACGTTGAATGAGTGTAAGTGACTATAATGTATTTCAACTTCGTGAATTAGCTAAAAAAAAAGCTATAGAATTAAAATTGCCAATCTTGAAAACCCCCGATGATGCTCTTGACTATCTGCGCCAGCGATGTCGCATTATTATTGACGGTGAGGTTGTTCAATTTCCATTTGTTACATCCAATGAATTAAGAAAAATGGACTGATGATTTGAAAAATATTCCTGCATTTTGTCAGGCTGATGTATTCGTTTATTTACTGTCCAAGTCTGATGCCTGGTCCCCCATTCGTCTCCAAAATTACAAGTGTGAACAAGGTTACAGATTGTATCAATCTAATCATATTCACTCCGTCCAGTGTCATGACATGACTCATAACCATCTATATGTGAAATCATTATGCATTAGAGAGACCTCCCAGTCAGCTGATCCCTACAGGACCTGGTGCCTCTTGAATTGTACTGATGGCAGTTGCACTTCTGCTGGGTGCGATTGCACTGGGTAAGTAATCATAGTAATGATTATAACTAAATTAAATTTTAAACTTTCATAAACATTATTACAAGCAATGTTATTATTGTGCAAAGAAAAACTCTTAAATCTGGAGATAATAATTTATTATTACCACATCTGTTGACTGATCAAATAAAATAAATATATCTATTCAACTTGGCAATGAATTCAAATATCAACATATTTAATAATAATTTATAATTGTCGGATCAATACACATATACAATAAAATAAAAATAATAATTGCACCAATTATGAGGAATCACTGTAAATATTCATAAAAAAATGTAGAGGGTTTAAAGAATAATATTATAGCTAGTACAGAAAATATTTGCAGCGTCAAGCATCTTTATGTTGAGTTACATATATTTTAGAGATGATGGTGGATGTAACATGTTGTGGCCCTACTATTCAGTTTGGCAATGTGGTCTGAGAGGCATACTGATCTAAACACAGAAACGTACTGACAGAAAATGTGCCTGGGATGTTCCTCGTAAAGAATCAAAACCAAAACTGTTGGATGAAATTGAACAATCAACTGTAAAAAATCGCATTTATCCATTTGAACATTGCTTTGACCCTACTACCATAAGTCAATACAATTGTGATGGTGACAATCTGCTTTTAGATTTAGTGAAAGATTCTGACACACAAATCATTGAGGTTCTTGATTTATCTATTAATGATAATGAACCAAATATGCCTAAAACTTTGAAACAGTGTGTTTCAAACTTTGATCCTAATTGGAATTCATCAATTTTTGACTATTTATCTACATGCATTGGGGAAAAAGACTGTAATGAAATTGAAAAGCTTACGGAACAGCAATCAGACCCAGTATAGTGGTATGAATATAGATTTGGGAGAATAACTTCTTCCGTATTACACAATGCTTGTAATTATACAGGAAATGACCCTAATAACTACATTTTAAAACAAATATTGAGCACTGACAGTACATCATTTTCAACCCCTGCAACTATCTATGGGAAGGAAATAGAAGTTTTAGCAAGAAATTTATTTGAAAAACAGAATGTTGCCAATTTAGAAATTACACTTTAGATAAGATTTTTGATGAAAAATATCATATTAAAATGGATGAAAATGGTTGTATGATGTTAAAAGAAAACTAAACTGGTATACTCAAATTCAATTGGCTGTTGCAAATGCACCACGGTGCGAGTTTGTTAGAAGGTGATGTCACCATTGGAAAACATAAAATGTACACAGAAAGAATATATTTTGATCCATCCTTTTGGAATTCATTGTTTGAAAAATCTATTTTTTGAAAGATTTTTATTGCCAAAGTTGCAAGAAATCTGATGTCTGCTAATGCTTGATATGCTTCGTTTGTATTGTGACTTGTGCTTAGCTTTTGGTTGCAAATATTTCATTCACAATATTATAATATGCTATACTGTATTATGAATAGCATGCTATGTGAAATATAAATTGCCATGACAGTATAATATTGTATAAATAGTTTTTACATTAAAAATACTAGTCTGCAAAATATTAATAAATATACATTGAACATAAACGATATATGAGTTGTATTGATTATCAACCTGACATAAATAATGAAAGCAAGTCATAATTTTTGTATATTATCAACCATAACTGCATAAAAAATTTAAACATGTGGTGCAGTTTTTTTTCTCAGAAATTTGATTACCTTCTAACTAATGGTGGCATTAAATTGCATCAAAATGCTGCAACTTTTATTATCTGATTCATAATTGGTTTAAAAGACCATGGCATGATATTTCCAAGAAGTCTGAATAATTTCAATCTCTGGATGGCTCTTTCAACATTAATTCTAAGCTTGGCAATTTTTCTGGTTTGCTTTATTTTCTTTACTCTATAACTGCACGTGTGTTGGGATAATTTTTTCTGAAAGACATTGGCATATATTTTCTGACCTGATTTCTAGTTGGCCATCTTATTAAATACCCAAAAAACATTTGACATGAAAGTAATCCATGTTATGAAAATTTGTGAAACTCTAGATTTTGAAATTCCAAACACATCTGCAAGGCAAAATTCATAAATTCCTAAGCGTAAACGAACAAGTGTCAATATAAATTCCTGAAAAAAGAGACAGTTTTCTTGTCGGACCAGGTTTCTTGCGTCTCGGGTTTTTCTGGAAATTGTTTTCTTTGGCACTTTCTTGGCCAGACCAATAATACTTCAGAGAAGAGCATTTGGAAACAAGTATGTTGAATATTCCTAATAGCAGGGCAAGAGATGGTAAACCAGTGTATGATCTAACATTTGCATCATTTTTTGTTATGTTTTCAACAAAAGCATCTCTTAGCAGTGATGATTTATCAACTGATTTAGCTTTCAGATTTTGGTTCCTCACTCAACTTTGTAATATCATTCATGGTCAGTTCTGTCTGCATTGATCTGTCTGTGAGAGAAAGGTGAACACTGAGGTGTTGCTACATGTATGTAGGAGTGATCAGATGAGGGAGGATTTCTCTGAGTATCTTCAAACTTCTTTCCATCAAGTAAAACTAAAAAGTACAACCATGTATATATAAAACATACGTAAATATTTTTCACAGTATTAAGTTTAATTCAAATGGCAAGGTATTAAATATATTGATATCTATCTTAATAATATCTGATCAGAATAAATTTGTACCATTACAGTTTGCTTCAGACACCTCTATTTCATCAATGTATGGAATTTAGTTATCTTCATATATACAGAAGTCATCTGAGGTGTCTGTGGATATGTCACAATTTTCCCCTCTCTGGTGCAAATCTATCATTAACAGGCTGGGCTGTGTTGCTGGAGTTACAAGGTGTTCTGCAATATACGTCTTATTATTCTAAATAAAATAAATTTATATACTAGACTATACTGGACAAGTGTGGACCTTGTTTTTTAAGAAAAAATCCATGTATATTATAAATCATATGAATTTACATGCATGGATTAGATGAGGAAAACAAAAATTTATTTACTTAATCTTTTTTTTACATAAAAGATTGACTTTTTTGTCTATGATTTTATTGCACATGAGTATCATACAGTATAACCTTTCAAGTAGGACCCTTGTATTGAAATCTAGAAATGGATCATGATCGATTAAGTAGTTTTGTCAAATTTTAATAAATACTTTCAAATGTAAAAAGAAAATTTGATGATTGTACAAACCTTTTCCTAGACGTCTCTTTAAAGTTGTTGTACGGAAAAAGCGTTGGCGTGTCACAGTCGCTATCAAAATGAAGTGAACATATTCTAGTATATTTGTTGGGCCTCAATCCTCTTTCTCGTCGAATCATATTTATCCATTTATTTCGATTAATTTTTTGTGATTTTTTTGGTAGAGAGAAAAATTTTACATTCTGAAGATGAGGGTACTTTGATAAATTTAGCTGTTTTCGTGTAGATGACGTGCATCCCGGCACACAACAGTGGTAAACGGGCATTGCGATATTCACAGCGATGTATCCAATGTAAACTGTCCCACTTTCCGGTTTACGCGGAAACGAAAATCACCTCCGCGACAAAAGAGCGCATCAAGGGAAATAATCTCGAAACTTGCGTATTAGAAAGAGAAGAAAGAAGGGAAAGAGTAGACTGAAAAAAAAGGAAAAGGCTCTAATGTTGCAGCTTCTCCAGAAAGCTTTGAATCAAAAATAATTTTTGTGTATTGCAAATTTCAAATTTAAATCAATAAATATCAAAATTGAAAAACACGATAAATAAATATCAATAAAACTTAAATCATGCCTTAAGTTTGTTTTGCACATTTTTCTTTACTCTGCGTCTTAAATTTGAATAAAAATATTTCAGAACAGTCAATGATGTAAATATTCTTCAAGGGAGGGTGGGTGCAGCCCGAAAAACGATCCAGTTTCGCTCCCATACAAACATTTATGACAATTGGTTAGTAAGGCAGCAACTTTATAGTATTTTCCAACAGGCTGAAGATAGATAGAGTTTGTGGTTTTTTCTGTAATCAATAAAAGCTCAACAGTTTCCCAAATCCTCTCTCCACATGAATTTCTTACAGCTGATATGCGCCTGTTAAAACGCGCTTGGATAGCAGAAAGGAAGGCACCTTTCTAAGTGTGGTAAAATGAATGGCGATAAGGGATATGCTGGATCCCCATAAACACAATAGGCCTCATTGTTGGGCGTTGTCATATTCCTCTGCATTTCGATTTCCACACCACTCTCTCTCAGCAAACCGGCATTTTGTCGTCTCCCTTCCACTGGGCCATAAAAAGGCGCCAATTATTCCATTAGGGGCCATGATACTTCGGAATTTCAAGCCATGCACTCGTTTATGGCCATTGTAAACTATTCTCTGGTTGTACGCTGGACGACATATTGGTCAAACGGTACCATCGATGAAACCCCAGCAGTTTTCCAGAGGAGCATTTTTATCCCGAATAGCGGTAGCCATGGCTTTAAGCTCACCATGTGACAAACAGGGTCTGTGCAGTGTATCAAGAAGACAGGCATAATTGTCGTATATGAAGTCAAGTGCTGTGTTAAATATGTTTGAAAGCTCATATCTTGTACTACCAAATAGCGGGGATAAGTCCTCGAGACGATTAGGATATGCAAAACGCCTAATTACAACGGATAACCCTTACCAAACTGATATGTTTGCTGCAGGCCTGCAGCAAGTCTGCTGCAAGCTTACAGCAAACAAAATTGTTCGCAGGAAGAAAAATTTCTTGTTTGCAGATGATTGCCGCTAGCTGCGATCTTGCGGCAAACATTGCAGCAATTGCTACAAGCTTGCAGCAAATTCGCAGGATTCCAACATGTGTGCAGGAACATTGCAAGAAACATACATGCCAATTTAATGTTCGCAGCAAGTTCGCAGGAAACTTTTCACAATTCAAATGTTTGCAGGAAGTTCGCAAGAACAGTAAACAAGTTAAATCAGCCAATGAAACGCAGATTGTACTGGGTCAACACAAAACTGGCCATTTTGAAATGTTGTAATTGAAGTTGTACATGTTTCAGTATTTTGGTAGGAATATACATCGATTCAAATGATTAAAAGTGCCAAACTCTGGATGTAGGTGTTCATTCTATCAATGATATCTAATTGGTAAGAAATGATTTTGATTTATTTTGATATTTGAAAGAATATTTCTTAAAAGCACGTTTGAGTAACTGGTGTAAATGCTAGGTCAAATCTAAATCTGTTTCTTATGAATTTCAGTCCTCTTATTGATATCACATATGTATACTTCTGAAAAGTACTAATGGACCCAAATCAGTTAAATTTTATCAAATAAATTAGAAAATGTGTATATTCATTAAATATTATATGTAAAGTTCTTAAAGTTCTGTTCATATAAGAAGCTATCATGCACTTTCATTATAAAAAGGTATGAAAACTTTGTCTAGGAACGTAAAGAGGGCCTATCACAACTTCATAAAACTGCATCTTTTCAGAAACATGTGGTAAATTTTCTCTATACTCAAAATATTTAGGTCAGGACAAAAGCTTTCTGTGAACTTGCTGCTTGTACAAAGGAATGTGCCAAAACCATAAGGAAATTGTTTGCTGCAAGTTAGCAGCAATGTTTGCTGCAAGCTTGCTGCAATGTTTGCTGCAAGCTTGCTGCAATGTTTGCGGCAGGCTTGCAGCAACGTTTGCCGCAAGCTTGCAGCAATGTTTGCGGCAGGCTTGCAGCAATGTTTGCCGCAAGCTTGCAGCAAGGTTCCCTTATTTGGAAAATTCAATGTTTGTTGCAGACTTGCAGCAAACCTCATTTGCATGGTAAAATGTTTGCAGCAAGCTTGCTGCAGAATTGCCGCTAACTTGCTGTAAACACCAAGGCTTTGTATAGATAATCATGCTTTCTTTGGCTACATTGCCGCAAGCTTGCAGCAATGTCTGCTGCAAGCTTATAGCAATGTTTGCTGCAGACTTGCAACAAATATTTGCAGGAAGGCAATATTTTCGGTAAGGGAACCCCTCCATTCCACTACACACTGTGCGATTCGCACTCCGAGAAACCTCTGGTACTTCCATTACACGTCTGATCTCATTTAATCCAGCTTTATCAAAGCGAAATAAATGCTTACATTGTTGGTCTGAAATTTCCTCTAATTGAAGTACAGATTCATATTTACTGGATTTTGTTACCAGAAGTAATGTCACCATCTTCCGTAATTGCGGCCAACATCTTTAAATTTAGTGCCATTTTCGAAAGATTGTAAATCAAAGCTTATAAGCTAACAAATGTTTATTATTATCCAATGAAAAAAACAAAACTTTAACATTAAAAAATTTTAACGTACACGTTTTAATTGCTAAACAACAAAAGTAATAACAACTTGTTCGTGTAACTCTAATATGTAATTCACACTTACAAGTACACGTACACGTTAGTTTGCTAAACCTCTCTAATAAATATTGTCTGTGGACGAAATTGAAAGCATATTCTCTCTCTCCTCCGCCCTAAAAAAAAAGTCAAGGTGCGGGACTGACGCGTCAGAGATTTCCTTTTTCTAATAAAAATAAAATGGTTGATAAAAATTTTCCATATACTGTAATAAATCTGGTTGTTCTTTTTTTTAGTAGAGAGGCTGTACGTCATTGTTGGAAATGATCTTTTTGAATTTTTGTGATGTAAGAAATCTACATACCAAGGGGAGGGTCTTGACCCGAAGCACATGTTCTCCGAAGAAAAAAAAAATTGTACATGTATATTCATGATTTTTTTCCTAGGACCAATGAAACAAATCTCTTGTTGAAACTTCAAAATATAAAAGAATTAACCCAACATCGATTTATATATATCTACGAGTAAATAAAAAGGTATTTACAATCAGAAACGACTCCCCCTCTACATAACCGTTACTGTCTGAAGAGAAAATTTCTAAATTATTAATTTCTATTTTTAATTGTTGCATTTGTTGCAAAAGACAAAGGTTTGCTTTTGCTGTTTTAACCGTCGGAATCCCTACACAAGCCGTAGATTGTGCAAATCATGCATGTTTTAACCACTCGATCAACGTAAATAGGAAATCTGTCGATTAGTTTCGAAGTGTTTGAGAAAACTAGACGTTTATGCTAGCTGGACAAATGACCAAGACAAAGCTCAACTATTGCTATTTCTATCTTCCGTTGGCTATTTATTTTTTGTAAATACATCTTACATATACCGGAAAAAGACGTGACTCACATCTCTTCTGACTTCCAAGCGGTGAAAATCTACTCTCCCATACGTTGAAAATGACTCCCCCATACTAGCGACTCCCCCGCTTTA